TGTATCCCTTCGTCTAATACAGTGGGGTCTTGACTTAAGAACGGCTTGAGTTAAGAACATTTTGACTTAAGAACCGCTCTCATAGGAATATATTGACTTGACTTACATACTTAGATTTGAGTTAAGAACTGAAAAAAACCACGTGGGAGGCAGGGAAAGTGCAAAATTCAAACTTTCAGTTAACTGTTGGCCAGTGAAAAGGGTGCCTGTCTGCTTCCTCACTCCTCCCAGCGTTTAGAGAGTGGATTGGGAGTCTTCAGACTGCCTGGTACTGCCTGGACTGTATTTTCCCTGCCTTCCCTGAACCTTTCTTGACCTAAGAAAAAAAGAAACAAAATATCCCCCTCTAGTGGTCGAAGGCAGAATAGCAGCTTCCCATTAGTTTCTATGGATGGAAAAGAGCAGATACGGATCAAATGGTTTTCAATGCATTCCTATGGGAAATGCAGATTTGACCTGAGAACTTTTTGACTTGAGAACCGCCTTCCAATATGGATTAAGTTCTCAAGTCAAGACCCCACTGTACCTGGTCTTCCCCTTTTCCTTCTGCCTTCTGCTTTTCTCAATGTTAATTGCCTTTTCCAGTTCTGTACCTTTGTTGGCATGAATCAGCTTTTAGTCCCAAAGTGTGAATCAGGATCAAGCCATAATCAGGTCATATTTCCATGTTATATAATACCATTTGGGCTGCATAAAAAATTAATAATTACTTATAATTATGAATTCGATCATCTTTTCTGCTTTTCACAGACAGCTCGGTGTGTTCTGTTGTGCTAGTTGTTTTTAACTGTTGGCGACCTGATATTTTAGATTCCAGTTCCCACTACCCTGACCTGACCATTGGTGACAGACTTCTGGGAGATGAAGTACATAATTTCTGAAGGGCCAGAAGTTTAAAACAGCTGTGTTATCATACCACTAACTAACTGGTTATGGATAAACTTATGCTTGATGTCAGCTGCTACTCAAATCAGCACAAATATGTGTAGGTTTCTGGCTTGGTCACATGTTTGCATGAAAACTATTATTTTTGTATTGCTGCATATAGGGAGCATCCAGTTGTAGATTTCCATGAAGTTGCAACACTAATTTGGATCCGTTGCCTTTGTCAAAACAGCAGCAATTTCAGTTTTACACAAGCGGGAGCTCCTTCTGAGGAGGCCAGGCTGTCTGTTTAGAAAAGTACACTGTTTCTCCACATCTGGAGGATAGACGTTTCTATGAGGACTGCTGTCCTCACGAATGTGCCCTTATCATCTAAGCAACACCCAAGGGAGCTGCTTGCTCATTGCTTGATGTGAGCTTAAATAATGAGACGGACACACTGTGGGCGATTGCATGGCAAAGAAAACACCAGAGAGCACTGACACATTGGAATGGCAAGAAGGATAAGCTGTGAAAGTTTGCTTTGGCTTATTCTGTGCCAGGAGCATGAAAAACAAACTGGCAAGAATCTGAAGAAGTTCGATGTGAGCTAAGGCCTTCCCTCAGTTCCAGTAAAAATACGTTTTTTAAAAAAAATCACTTTGGCTTATAGGAGTTGTGCTGTTGTGGTTGAAACTGTAGTCTCTGTCCACATCTGCCTAAGGGAATTGAACTCCCAACTCATCCTTTATTTATTTGTTTGTTTGTTTGTTTGTTTGATTGATTGATTGATTGATTGATTTTTACCCCGCCCCTCTAGACAACGTCTACTCGGAGCGGCTTACATCAGTTAAAACAAGTTAAAATAATATATAAAATGCATTTATACTAAATTAGTACTAAACAAAAGGTTTCCAAGATGGTGGTATACAAAAAAAAAGATAAAGAAAGAGAAAAGGAAAATGGCTTAATTGACGGGGGGGGTAGGCCTGTTTAAACAACCACGTTTTTAATTGGCTTTGAAAACCAAAAGCGGGGGTAAGGATCGTTGCATATAATATTAAAGACAGGCTCCACTAATGGATATAGATAGACATGAATACTGATGGGAAGAGTTGATATGAAATGTTGGCATGAGATTGTGGTGGATTAATAACATGCCGTCTAGGTTGTGTTGTTCTTATATAGATTTTAAAAGACTTTCACTAAGTAGAATGGGATGATGTTCCTTTACCTGGAATTTAGAGCAGAAACACAGCCTTAGATACACCCAGCGCTTCTTGAAGCATTCTGGAAACAATTTGAAATGCTCACATTGACTTTTCAAAAATGTGTTAATGTAATCCTCTTGTGACTCCTTGTATTTATAGTCGGAAGCTACCTGTGTGTTGATAACTTTCTGCTTCATGTTCCCATCCCCAGTCTTGGAGAAGTTACTCTTTTTACTTCAAGCCCCAGAATCCTCCAGCAGACATAGCCACTTGCTTTTCTCGCTGGTGACTTCTAGAGCTTGTAATTAAAAAGAGTAACTTTTCCAGGTTCTCCTCCCTCCCTGTGAAGGCACTTATTGTGGTAGCTTTGAAAGTTTGGAACTCTGTAGAGGATTTTAGCCTAACTTTTGGCTGACAGGACAAAATAGCCCTCTTCCAGAAGGGAGGCCCCATTTAATGTCAGCATTATGAATAAGAAAGTTTCTGCCATTAGAAAAGAGTGTTACTGATATTTAGTATTTATGCCTTGCTTTTAATATTTGCCTGTTTTTCTTGTTGCTGCAAAGGAGAGCTTGGCAGGACTGTGTATTGATTTGCACTGCAGTCATTTGGTTTCTGTAACCTGTATGAACTATGCAAAACAGGCACATGTGAATATTTTGTTTATTTTTCATAATTACCCTGCTGCTAACTATGGGGAGCTGTGCAAAGGAATGAAAGCATTTTTCCTGACTATTGCAGATGTTGCTGTCTGTTTCTAATATTCTCCACATTCAGATGTACCTTTGGAGCCTTAAGGTCTATAATTTCAGTCTTTTTGACAAAACGAAGAGCTGAAAATTTCCAAGGTTGTGCTGTGTACATAACCCAGTCATTGTGAGGAGCTGTGTTTTGTAGCAGACTGAGTGGGTCATAGCATGCTTTGTTTTGGCAGCATTCATGAAGGCTCCTCTCTTTGGTAGTTCCCTTTTCACATGTGAGGGCTGGGTTTTTTTTAAAATCCTTCTCCAGGTACTGTAGGGGATGTTGAAAGAGTGTTAACATCAATTGTGTATTAGCTTCCCTACTGAGTGCATGTTAGCAAGAGCTAAATCTGGACATTGGTGCATTCTTGGACTGCAGTGTTCATCAGCTTCGTGTTAATGATTTTTGTGATTTCTATTTAAGTCTATGAATAAAATGCCTACTTTCCTTCTTTGCTTCCTGGAAGGCGAAGTGGCTTTGGGGATGAGCAGTATTAAAACATCAGACAAAACCTTATGACACATTGTGAATTAAAGCTGTCTTCTCTGCTTGAAAATGCGAAGGAGCATGGACAGTTGCCTTGATACACATTCTACACATGTTGGTCTATCTCAGTGTTGTCAGCACTGAATGCCACCCAGCAGGTTGTCTTTATTTCAAGTAGGGATCTTAGGCCTCTCTGGAGATGCCAGGAATTAAACTGTGTGCTAAAATTGTATTTACCTCAAAGAAGGTTTACTTTTCAACTTCTGGAACCATTTTCGAAATAATTTCTTTTTAAAAGTTTAGCTATTAAATTTCTGGTTAAAAGCTTCATGTTTGAAGTTGAATGGTTGGAAGAAATTGTTCCCTCTAATAATAATGAACTTGGTTCACCTCAAAATAGTTCCATAGACTCTCAAGGAACACGCTTGCATGCCTTACACAGGTGGGAAGGAAAATATAGAAATTCTGGATTTCTCCTAATCAAGTGGACAGCTCTCACATCTGCTCTGGGAAGAGGAAAAGGAGAGTGTTTAAAAGAAACAGGAGCCAGCCAGGCAATGTGTGTCTGTGGTTGAAGTCAATTGAACCATGAAATGATTCATTGCTGATTGAAGAGGGAAAAAGGGGAAAAGGAAATTGTATTAGTCCCAAACACATGCATGTTGTGTGTCTCTCTGTGTGGCTAGGCATACGTGTGGCCCTGAAAGTTTTGATCAGCAATTCTACCAGCTCCAACCAGGATAAGCAATGATGAAGAATCATGGGACTTGTTCTACAGCATCTGCAAACTCACATATGCCTTAGCACTTCCCTAATTGTGCAAGTGATCGAAGTATGTTGGGTTAAGGCTGTTAGCCATGAGGTTAAAACGTGTGCCCATTCCTTTAACTTTCCTTTAAAATTAAAGTTCCTAATTCTTACGACTCAGAGGATAGAATTGCAAGTGTCTGAATAATTCTTTGTGAAACCTTGTAGGTGGTGAAAAAAATATGAGGGCCTAATTTTCTGTTGATTGGCCATGTTGGCTGAGGGATTCTGGGAGTTGTAGTCCAGAGATGTACTTTTTCTGAACTTTGTAAACTGGAATGGTCCATCAGTCTGTTTATAGTTATTTATAGATGTTGACAATAGTCATTATATTCCACCCTCTATGAGGGAGTTAAAGAGCTGTATGGGAATTGGCTTAAGTTACAATGCTTTTAGTCACCGCTTGAATCTCTCTAGGTTTTAAGATCTTTGGAGGAAGACATTTTCTTAGTTCCATCACTCTCATAAGCACCTCCGGTGAGGACATAGGAAGAGGACCTCTTCAACAGCTGCTTCCAGGCTGTGGAAGTCCCTTTTGAGAGAGGCTACTTTGAACCCTCCTTGTTGTCCTTCTGCTGGCAGACAGAGACCCTACCTGTTAGGCATGCTTTTGGTGATTGAACAGATTTTAATGGAGGATAGTGTACGTTCTGCTTTTTCTGTTGTCCTTTTCCATTGTTTTAGGTCAGTAGTTATTTTATAAATATGATAATATGTTTAAGATAATTTTAATGTTATCACTTATTGTGGTTTGTAGCTGTATATCTGGTTTCTTCTTCTTTTACTGTTTTGTAAGCCGACTTGGATTCCTAAATTGGGAGGAAGATGAGATGTGAAGTTAATAAGTGGATGTGTAGATTCAGTGACCTCTTTCTTTTGCTTTTCTAGATTCATAATCCATATGGATTAAACCCAGTAAATGTTGATGAGCAAAACAGCAAGAAGACCGGCAGACTGGAAGGGGACAGCCGCCAACCTGTCAAGAAGGGCCGGCGGCTAAGCTGGAAGCATGGAAGAAAGGAATAAGGAGAAGGTGAACCAAGCCCATGTCCTTTTTGACCGATTTGTTCAGGCTTCAACCTGCAAAGGGACTCTCAAAGCCTTCCAGGACCTTTGTGATTATCTAGAATTGAAGCCCAAAGACTACCGTACTTTCTACCACAAGCTCAAATCCAAGCTTAATTACTGGAAAGCCAAAGCCCTTTGGGCCAAGTTGGATAAGAGAGGCTGCCACAAAGACTTCAAGAAGGGGAAAGTATGCGCCAACACAAAGGTGGGCATTGGAGAACCAGTGTGCATGAAATTTACTAATAACTATGAGAAATGTCTTTCATACAGTGTGCAATTATATGAAGTGGAATTACGGCCATTAGCTGTTACAGGTATTTCTTCTCTTAGCAATCATTCCCTTGCTACAGTAGTTTGAACAATAAGCAGAGTATGATATACAGTTGAGCTATGCAAAGTGAACTAAAACTTCTCATAGGTTCGAGTGGGAGTACCTGGAATTCCATGCTAAAACCTGTATCTTGGTTACTTAATCACTGTAATGCTTCTTTCTGGTGGTGATTTAATTTTACCTAGCAGTTCAGAAACCTGAAACCTCAAATAACTACAGCAGCAGGTGTGTAAATTTAGGATTGTTGGCTTTATGAAGATTTGAAATTATCAGCATACAAGCATACTAACCAGTTAGTTTCACTGTCCAGATAAGAAGTTAGAGCCATCACAGGCATTTTATATTGTTTAATGAAACTATTACAGTATAGTATTTTTATTTAAGACATTTAAAGTTTTACTAAGTTATAAAGTGATGCTCAGAAACTGGTGTAGCAGCCCTTAATTACAGACCTGTGTTTCTGGAAGGAGAATAGATGGTACCCAAAATTGGAGTTTGGGGACTTCGGAGCTTTATATCTGAGCAGTGAAGAATCAGTTGCAATACCCTGCATTTTGTGTTCTTTATGTCTTACTGCATTCAAGTTGGTATTTGGGTTCCTCTGCCCCTGTGGTACCTGAAAAATATTAGTTACAAACTACCAAGTGTTTTCTCCTTGATAATGGACCTGGATTATAATTTAGGTAAGGCCATAAGTGGTTCAGGAATGCCTGTACCTCACATCTTATAGACCAATAGAATTGACAGGGTGATGGGCCATTTTTTAGGGACTTTGTTTAGGATTATCTACAGTGCAGACTATAAAACAGAGTTGTCACTAGCCAGTTCCTCCACTCTTTCAAAGGCCTGTGCTGTTTCTATTGCAAAATTTAAGGCTTTAATGATAGCAACAAAAATGCAATTTTCCCTTTAAATTCCTTGCTCTGTCAACAAAATTTGGGAGCAAAGCCGCAGATCTAGCCAAACACCTCTTTAGAATAGAAGTTTAGAATTAAGATTGCCAGAAGAAATATCAACAACCTTCAATATGCAGATGATACCACTCCGATGGCACAAAGTGAGGAGGAGTTAAAGAACCTCTTAATGGGGGTGAAAGAGGAGAGCGCAAAAAATGGTCTGAAGCGCAACATCAAAAAATAAAAAAACCTTAAGATCATGGCCACTAGTCCCATCACCTCCTGGCAAATAGAAGGGGAAGATATGGAGGCAATGACAGATTTTGCTTTCTTTGGATCCATGATCACTGCAGATGGTGACAGCAGCCACAAAATTCAAAGACACCTGCTTCTTAGGAGGAAAGCAATGACAAACCTTGACAACATCTTAAAAAGCAGAGACATCACCTTGCCAACAAAAGTCCACATAGTCAAAGCTATGGTTTTTCCTGTAGTGATATATGGAAGGGAGAGCTGGACCAGAAAGAAAGCTGACCGCCAAAGAATTGATGCTTTTGAATTGTGATGCTGGAGGAGACTCTTGAGAGTCCCCTGGACTGCAAGGACAACAAACCTATCCATTTTGAAGGAAATCAACCTTGAGTGCTCACTGGAAGGACAGATTCTGAAGCTGTGACTCCAATACTTTGGCTATCTCATGAGAAGAGAAGACTCCCTGGAAAAGACCCTGATGTTGAGGAAGTGTGAGGGCAAGAGGAGAAGGGGACAACAGAGGATGCGATGGTTGGACAGTGTCATTGAAGCGACCAACATGAATTTGACCCAACTCCAGGAGCCCTTAGCTAATCCTGATTTTCCTTTTTTCTTTTTCTTAGTTTATAATTTTATGGTTGAAAGTTTTCTTCTTTGTAAATTCGTTTTTAGTCATTGTTGTATCCCTGTTGTGAGCCGCCTAGAGTGGTCTATTGACTAGATAGGCGGGATATAAATAAAATAAATAAATAAATAAATAAATTGTCTTGTGAGGCACCACTGTACACACCTTCTGTTGAAGCCAGTTATCATTTCCGGGAGGCTTCGGACCCAGCTGCGTGTGCTCCCCTATATGCCTTGTTTCAAATTATATGTAATCATTCTTCTTCGTGGCCTCTGCGAATCCACACAACTGGGTTGTTCTTTACCTACACAGGACCTCTTGGAAGTTTCTAGAGCTTAAAGACAGGTGATTAGTAGGACATTCCCAGTTGTGTGGATTCACAGAGGACCACTAGAAGAACCATGGTTACAGGTAGGTAACCTCTATTTCTAAAAATCATTATGTTTTGTTTGTGCTGCTGTTTTATTGCCAAATATTGGGGTGACTGGGATTAACAGTATGGCCTTCTGACTCCTGAAAATTTCCAACAATTGCTAAACATCTTTAGTAGTTTACTTTCATTATTTTCAAGGTAAGCTATCATCTTGGTGTGTGAGTTTGTTTTGTTAAATAATTGATTTATCCTGCTTACATCTTCTCCATTGGAAATTTGTTGCAAGGTCCCTATTAATTCTTCTCCTCCACATATACTTTCTGTTTTCACCCAGGGAATGCACAGGCTGTTTGGGAGGAAGAACTACCAGTCAGTCGTAACATTCTCTTTATTTTGATACTGTGCCAACTTAGTAGTAGATCTTATCCTTTTTAAAAACTGCTTTTGATCTTGATCTAGAAAGTCTTATTCCTCCTAGCAAGTTATCTGCTAGTTGTTCTTACTTGTTTTTCAAGAAATAACTAATAAATAATTCACTTCAGTTTGTATGTAGCAGTACGCTGGAAGACAGAGAAGCCACTGGCACCTAGTTTCTCATTCATTTCTTCTGTCTGCAGAACATTATGTTCCTAAGATTAATACAGTTCACAGTGTACTTTGCAAGTTCCATCTCTTCTGCTGCCTGTGTCTCTTCTTTTGATACCCTGGCTTTATCTTTTATCTTTTTTTCTGTCCTGACTGTTTGGTGGCTTGGTGTTCTCACTTTTCAATATAAATATGTGAGTTGAAATAATAAATTGGATTAAGATTTCCAGCTGTAGCTACAGCATGATTCCTCTTTTGCTGAGCCACTCCTTTGACATAATTACTGTAATGCTAGCCTCATATAGGGGTTGATATAAATATTTATGAGGATTGTTATTTATCATTTATCCTGTTCGTATTCTGCCCTTCCTCAGAGGATTCTGGGATGAAAATGTGGGTATCTGTTCTTCCCCAGTGTGTTCTTGCAGCACTGTCCATGTTCAAACAATGCAGTAAGCCATTAGTTTGGTTGTTGAAGGTTTTTTGGGCTGTTTGGCTGTGTTCTGGTGTAGTGTGTGGGATAGCTGAGTATTTGTAGCTCTGTTGTACATCACCAGTCATTATGTTAGACTACACAGGGAAGCCATTGGAATCCACAAACGTCAGCACAGCTCAACGAAAAAGAAGAAAGTTTGAAACTCAACAAAGCCTGTCCTGGCTCCCAGCACTGAAAAATACAGCCTGCAAAAAGGTCAATGAACTGTACCCAGCCACAAGGACTGGTGATCACTGCACACAAAAGACTAGCTAACAACATCAGTCACAGTGACAGATAATCTCCCCCCCTTATCACAACGATATACCCATGACCAAAAAAACCCTGATCACCATAATCACCCAATCTCCCGAAAAGGACAAAAAGCTGATCCCACAGCTACAAATACTCAACTATCCCACACACTATACAGACAGAGTTCTAACTCCTGTCCTCTGAAGATGCCGGCCACAGAGACTGATAAAACATCAGGGCGAAAAACCTCAAGAACACAGCCAAATAGCCTGAGAAACCTACAACAGCCATTGGATCCCGGCCGTGAAAGCCTTCGAGAATACAAGCAATTGGATGACAGTTTGTTTTCCCATTTCTAGTATGTTTCTCTGTCATCTCTTTTGTCAGCTTCTGCTTCAAAGTGGGCAGCTGGGGAAACAAAATAGGAACAAGCCAGAGTTCTGAGTTTGTACAAATCATGATTTAAAGAAGCTACGGTTCATCAGCCAACAACCAACTAGTTTTTGATTGTGATTTGTGTCTGGCTAACAAACCATAATTTGTTTATAGGGAAAGTCTTGAGACACAGTGAAAAGACAAAATTTAGCAAACACAACCTGGTTTCCTGTTTTGTGTGCATGAATGAATGAATTAATTAATTAATTTAATTTAATTTAATTTATACCCTGCCCATCTGGTCGACTGACTACTCTGGGTGGCTGTCAGAGGAGGATGAGAAAGACCAAGAATATTCAGAGGATGACCCAGTGAGTGTATTGGCCATGACTTGGTCCACACATGTAGCAGAAAACATAATATAATTTGATGATTGTAGAATAAAATATTACTCCACGTTCAACTTCTTGTCAAATAGTTTTTTCCTCAGGTCTTTCATTTGAATCAGTGCTCTTTCTGATTTGATTGTGCCACATTTCAATGTTTCTAGACTGGAAAAGCTTGTCCACTGAGTTTTGGAAGGATTTACATTCCCATCTGCTGTGTTGGAATGGACTTCTAATGGGGTTTTAAAAGCAAGTATAGGACAGCAGTATAACTCTTTCCCCTTCAAAACATAGCTAAGGATATCCCTTCTCCTCACATGCAATATGGCCATAGATTCCGTATTTGGCTACAGGGATGATACAATTGCTTCTGCTTGATTCCTTGGTTTACATCAGAAGCTCTTACAGAGGAACTGGTTTAGGGATGGATGGAGGAGCTGCAAAAACATTGTTTTGAGTACTGAGAAGGAGTGGTTTTATTCAGCACTTGCTGCCTGAGATACTTTAGTTGGAAATGAATGTGAAGGATTTACCTTTTGACCTACTGTGTGCCGGGTTTGTGCTACACCACTAAGCCATGGACTTTTCTATAAATATTCCAGTGTCAAATACAGGTTGATGGACACACCATGTCTAGAGGTCCCAAATATCAATTTTGTGGATTTGTAGCTAGACAGAAACAATGCAAGTCAGAGAGAGAGAGAGAGAGAGAGAGAGAGAGAGAGAGAGTGGCAGAAGGGAGGTTATTTTGCAAAATAAGTGGGGTGTTCAGGCATATAATTTGCCTGATTTAGTTTACCAAGACCATCCCATATGGGAAATGAACATAGCTGTGATACAAATTTAAAGAGACCTCTGAGAATAACTTGTTTTGTTTCACTTCTTTTAACATTCACTTAAATCAGACCTGGGCAGAGTGCGGCCCAAGGGCCACATACGGCCCGCGAGCCACTCCTGTCCGGCCTGCGGACAGTTTTGAACATCAAAATCATTTATAGCTTTTTGTCTAAAGTTGATCAGTTGCTTATTTTTAACATACCGCAAAAAAACTCTTTTAGTATTTGTGAAGATTAATAAGTTTAAAATAAAAACAATCATAACATCACTGTTTCATTTTATTTTTAAGTAAAGTTGGTTCAGCCCCCAAACACAGTTCAAATTTTTCATGTGGCCCCCCCTATAGAAATTAATTGCCCACCGCTGACTTGAATGCTATTCCTGTAGTCAAAACTGTAGAAAGTGTTTCTCTGTGGCACAGGACTCCGTTAAATATCTTGTAGGCATTGTTAAAGGTTCTTTTGCATTTCAAGGTATGTGAGGGACGAACAGATTCTGGGCGCCCCTTCCTTTTGTGCCCCCCCTTGCTGGCTTCACAGGTTTAATTGAAAAGTCCTTTTCATACCAAGGCTTGTTTTCTTCTCTTTCAGTGTCTCATCATCGGGGCTGGACCTTGTGGCCTTCGAACAGCCATCGACCTCTCCTTTCTCGGGGCAAAGGTGGTGGTAGTGGAAAAGCGTGATGCCTTCTCCCGCAACAATGTTCTGCACCTGTGGCCATTTACGATCCATGACTTGCGAGGCCTTGGCGCCAAAAAATTCTATGGCAAATTCTGTGCAGGAGCCATCGACCATATCAGTAGGTGGCCACCATCCTTGCTGATCATAGTAAACTTCTATAAAAACGGAGGGGAAAGAAGCAGATGTGACGATTTCTATGTGTGAGACTTGAAATAGCAAATTATTCTTGCTAATGCTAGGTAACTCAGTGTTTGCTGGCTTGCCCATACTTAGGTTAGGAGTAGAGCAAGAATGGGCAAGTTATAAAGAACGTTTCCATTAACAGGAGTAAAGTAAGAAATGCCATTTTAAAAATCTCCTGTCCTCATTGTTTGCCGTTTTTCTGTGCTACAGGTATTCGTCAGCTTCAGTTGATACTCTTGAAAGTCGCCTTAATCCTCGGGGTTGAAATCCATGTCAATGTGGAATTTCAGGGGCTTGTCTACCCTCCTGAGGACCAGGAGAATGAGAGTAAGTGAAACTGAAAAGTTCTTAATGAGTGATGGAGAAGGTTTGTATCACTCTGTAGGTGATGCCCTACGGGTTCTTCTGTTATGGTAGCAGAATGTGTGCTGCATCTACAGAAGTGTTTGCAATAATATGTGTCATAGGGCAGTAGTGTGTTAGCAGATAGCGATGGGCATAATTCCAACTTGTAGTTCCAACTAGAGATGGACTATTCATACCCTGGGGATACAAATACAAATTACAACACCACAGGTGCCACAGAGGTCCATTCCTTCCCCCAGAACCAGATGGTCCACTTATTATTTGCCATGCATCATGCTTGTCTGTCATTGTCAGCATCACGCTAGTCACGGAAGTACCAAGCCAGTGCTTCCCTGCCTCCCTGCGCAGCTAACCACTTCAGCGAGGAGACAGGATGAAGATTCTCCCCACTCAACCATTAAGCGGTTGGCTGTGCGGGGAGGTGGGGAAGCATCGGCTGTGCTACTTCCATGATGTCAACAATGACGCAGCAACCAGTGAGTGGACCAGCTATTTATGGGGGAAGAGAACAGACCTCCATGGCACCTGCAGCACTGCTATTTGTATTTGTATCCCCAGGAACCTGTTTTACATCTCTATTTCCAACCAAAGTAGGCCCATTGAATTAGGTAGTGAATAGCAAGTGAACACAATATACATCCTATGATTCAGTGAGTCTAGTAGGGTCTACCATGCTGGATTGAGGCCATGGTCATTTATGTGCAGTACAATGTTATCTGAATCTCTTTGTATCAATGTGTAATACCTTTGCAGATCACTTGGTAATAAACGGTTTTTCTACAGGGATAGGTTGGCGTGCCCAAGTTCACCCAAAAACTCATCCGGTGTCAGAATATGAGTTCGATGTGATCATTGGAGGAGATGGAAGGCGCAACACTTTGGAAGGTAACTGTTGTGACTGTCGTTGGCCTTGTACGATCAGTTCCTCTATTCCCAATCTGGCATACTCGAGGGATATCAGTCCCCACCAATCCCAATTTATACAGCCACTGGTGAATGATAGGGCTTGTATCCAACGTATTTGGACGGCCCCAGATTGGGAAGAGTGCTCTGATCTGTGCTCATCCTTGTTCCTTCCCAATGTCTTACTTGCAGTTCCTCCAGAGGGCATGCCATTCAACTTAATCTGTTGGAAATAGGAAACATGTTTTGGTGGTTAGAGGAATGTGTTTTACAAACACAAATCAGTGAATTATTTTGTTGGCATCAGCAGTTTAAAACATATAGGAAGAGCTAAAAATTTGGAGTGCCATTGCTAGCTAAGACAGACAGTACCGGGCTTAGGTGAAGTATGTTTTGACTCCGTACAGGTATAAGGAAGTCATGTATGTTCATAAGCACTAAATTGCTCAAGCCAATTAATTGCTTTGTATCATTGTGTCACAGTATTTTCTTACTTAGAAACATCTGACCAGCTGCTATGAAAACTAAATTTTTGGTAGCTTTGTATGATTTGGCATACAACTCTTGGATTTGATTCATTAAGCTATAACTTAGAAAAGCTCATATTGCAGTATATTTCTTGATCCATAAGGTGCTCTTTGGACAGAGAAAAATGGGTTGGCTGTTCTTATGGAACTTTAAAGAGGTCAGTGGATCATACCGAAGATACAAACACATGGCAAGGGCTTATGTTTTTCCTCCCTACCCATGCGAAGAGGAGAATTTTATTACACATTACCACCTAGTCCAAAGATCCAGTGAAGAACAGAAGTGGAAAAACTCTACTTGTTATGTGGGCAGATACTGTACATGCCCAACACACTGTCTGTCACAATAATGCATGCGGTCATAAATTTCCATTTCACACTCCTTTCTCTATTCAGCCATAGTTTTTAGGACAAAGGTACGGTAATTGCAGGAGAGGATTTCAGGAATTGCACACACACTAAGCAAATGACTATGTCATGTGAAAGGAGAATATTCATCCCTGTTTTCTTATGCATTTAGTGAAATAAATCTATCTGCCTCATCTTATAGTGTATACCAGAAGTAGATTGTTAATTCTGTCATACAGATAGAAATGGGTTGTTCAGAAGCAGCATTAATCTTTTTAAATTGATTGCTTTTTTAATTTTATTGATTTATATACAGTCCAATACTTGTGATGCACTGTACAGTACTGGGCAGTTAAGAATTAAAAATCAAATTCATAAAATTCAAAATCTGGATGGTGCCACATTTTCATAAGGAATTGGCAGGGTACGAGATGGAAGTAATTAAATGTGGCAGTGCTGTTTTTGTTTGTTGTGACAGAATAAAGCCCTGTGTCTCATGTTCTGATCAGGTTTTTTTTCTCCTCCCTTTTTAAAATAATGGTTCTTCCCCCAGACCTCTTTTAGCATTTGAGCCTCCCGACCCTTTAAATATTTTTAATGAGCCCTCTTATTTGGCGGAACCTAAGGTTTATTGGCATAAATGTGATATCTGTTCTGTAGGTTTTCGCCGAAAAGAGTTTCGTGGCAAGCTGGCTATTGCCATCACAGCAAACTTCATCAACCGCAATACCACAGCGGAAGCCAAAGTTGAAGAGATCAGTGGTGTGGCCTTCATATTTAACCAGAAATTTTTCCAGGATCTGCGAGAAGCTACAGGTTGGTGAAAGTGGTCCATGGATGAAAACATGCCTGCAACTTTGGTGTCTCCTCCTCTCATGATTTTCTTGTACTACTTAAAGATGGCTTCTAGTGGAAGTTGAGAGTTCTTGTGGTCACAGGCAACACTCCAAATTGTTTTGATAGCGATGTTTCTGGGGCACATAGCGTGTCCCCATAGCCTGCATGTAGTTAGAGGATGGAACAGCCACAGCTTTCTATTGTTTCTTTTCATAGTGAGTTATTCTCTTGGGAATCTTCTATTTGTGACCATAAATCAGTCTTCTACTTAACTGTGCCCTTAACAATGAGATTGCTACTGTCTTTGCAATGTCTCCCTTTCTGATATTGAAATTCATTACACAGTACCGCGTTTCCTGCTGACTGCAACTGCACAAGTAATTGCTCAGCCTCTGGGAAGTATGTCATTTGTGTGTCCCTAAGCATGGCATCACAAATAACTAAATTGGTGGAATACTTCAGATATTCTCCTCAAATCCCGGTCTCTGGGGATTGCTGCTGGGAATTAGAAGCCAACTTGTCTAGTGTGCAGCCGATGGTAAAGATGGTTCTATAGCATTCTTGATTCCTCTAAAATTGTGCATAAAATTGAACTAGATGCTTCACAGAGAACTGAAGTACTAGGATGGTGTTTATTCACAGGATCTCTTTGAAAGGGAGTTAGGCCAGTGTACTGCTGCAGAGTTAGATACCTCATCCTGTTACTCACTGTGATTGGCTGTCATATTTGGTGGTCCTGCTCAGGGGCGCCACTTGAATACAAAGTGTGAGTATTTAAATCAGTCCTAAGCACTGATGATGCTGGAGGAGACTCTTGAGAGTCCCCTGGACTGCAAGGACAACAAACCTACCCATTTTGAAAGAAATCAACCTTGAGTGCTCACTGGAAGGACAGATCCTGAAGCTGAGGCTCCAATACTTTGGCCATCTGATGAGAAGAGAAGACTCCCTGGAAAAGACCCTGATGTTGGGAAAGTGTGAAGGCAAGAGGAGAAGGGGACAACAGAGGACAAGATGGTTGGACAGTGTCATCGAAGCCACCAACATGAATTTGACCCAACTCCGAGAGGCAGTGGAAGACAGAAGGGCCTGGCATGCTCTGGTCCATCGGGTCACGAAGAGTTGGACACGACTTAATGACTAAACAACAGCAAAGCACTCTTACTTAGAATTAAAGTTCTTCTGTGGCATTGTGCTACCTCATGAGTGCACCAACTATTTTCCTCTTGAATCCATCCTTAATTGTTAAGATTTCTCTGAATCTTAATCCTAATTTAGAAGATTTCCTACAAAAGGTCATCACCAGAGCTTGCTCAGTAATATGATCAGAATTCAAGGATTGGTCCAGCTGTTTAATAGGAGGCCAGAGCTTAACATCCCTTTATCGCTTGCTGTACTTTTTAATGCTGTTTTGTTGTGGACTTGAAATAAAGAAGCCTTTATATACATGGCAACCTGATCCTCTGTGAATTGCATCTCCTTCCCTGTGGCTTCTGGAATCATGTCCACTGTTGTAGTATCCTTAAACTCCATCTTTGGATAGTTAGACCTTGTGAGCTATATTTTGAATTATCTTTAGAACAAGGAGAACAGAATGGCTAAATTGATCTGTATTTAATGTATTCGCGAAGGCTTTCACGGCCGGGATCTAATGGTTGTTGTGGGTTT